AGCTACATGCACGCTTTTACGCGCGCACACTGTCACTTTCCTTTACGAGGAAATTAAATTCGAGGAGGCAGTCAGTGCGGAGCGTTGCGGGTGAGCCGGCTGAAGGGAGGGAGGGACACCGTTGTCCCATAGCCCAAATCGTATCAATCACAGGTACCGGGCTATTGCGCGTTCGCCGGGAGCCGCGCAACGCTCAGCCTCTCCCTGCTTCGCTGCAAATCGCCGCAATGATTTGTGAGCATTATTGCCGCGGCAGAGTTTAATTCTGTTGATCGCGGGACTACACGAGAACCAAATCGATCTTGTGCACCACCGGCTGCCAGAGTCCCTGATTTCGCAGGTTTGACGGCGCTGTCGAGCCGCCCTCCGGCGTCGCGGTTGGTGGTTGGCAGCAGCGATCGTTTCCCACTTTGCAAACCCGGCATTCCCCTGACTGCAATTCAGTTTAGATTCCCACATTTCAACCCATGAGCGACAAGAATATTTCGCCGACTCGGAACACTGTCCTCCCATTGTGAGTCGCGAAAGGCGCAGGGTAACTGGAGAACCGAGCTCCATGTCTGTGACGTTAGCGTTTGACACAAATTGATAAGAAGTGCACCCGTCCCTACCCAGCCGCAAAAGAATTTTGGCCCATTGGTTTTGGAACCGCCGAAGCACCGCAACAGGATTTTACTCGTGGGATATGCTTGTGGGGCTCGCTCCATGCGTTGGCACTCGTACTAAGCCACCAACCGGTCAGCACTCTTGCCCGCCCACACACATTCTTGTCCCGCTCGTTTCCTCCCTCCCTCTTCAACACCACACCACCAACACACGAAATCGACAATCGCCTCTGCCAACAAGCAACCCCCAGCGATTTTTCTTGCACAATTTGCTAGAAACGAACATCAAAGTCGACGACCACAAAAAAAGAGCCCTTGCTCAGGATGACAATTCGGAGCCCAGACGGAGCCCTATCCAGGTACTTACTGCCCAACGGTTTTCCCCCAACTCATGTTCTGCTTTACGCGTTTCCTTACGTTTGACTACTACGACATCCTGTGTTGCTAGATTCATGTGTTTCTTTCCTACTGTTGTTTGCTTTTTGCTCTGCCGCCATTACAGCCCACAAAAGGATGCCCAGAGGATGCCACAGGACAACCTTCCAGAGGATCTACCGCCCCGGTAATGGAATTCCACATGGCCACTTTTCTTCAGTTACCAAAACCGGATGCTTCCCTGGATCAGCCTCCTAGGATTCGAGAGACGTAGCACACTGCCCTTGCAGTGTTTGTAGAAACGACAACCACGAGGCCTCGCTGCCCCGACTTCAGAGCAATGATGTAATGCTCTCGAAACGGCGGTGAACGGACACGAGTGGATCCTCGCGCTAGTCACATGCGCTACGACGCACTATTACGAAAATGATATACGACAAAGGCATGCAACCCTGCATCGCCTCAGGACAACGTAGGCAACTCTCAGCAATGTCGTTCAATTTATGTTGTTGTTCGACTGCGCTAGGCGACAAACGACTGGTAGTATCAATGTACGCAATCCATTCCAAAGGAAGCCACTATCCTGATGAACCCGTTATGGACCAGACCGAGGAACTTCTCTGCCAAGAGGAACAATGACATGGACACCTTGACCTGGACTTCCCACCGGACGCTAATGAGACCCTTCCATGGTCTTGGAGTTGATTTGGAGACAGTTGGACTTACGAAGTACGTATTGGAGGCTATAGCTCTAGCCTATCCACATCGACCTATTGATCCGAAACTAACTTGAGTGGTGTTAAAGGAGCACAAGATGTTCTGGATGATCAGTCCCCTTCATTGTCTCTGGCTTTCCTCTGGATAATATTGGATCGAACACTGGATTACTATTCTGTCGCCTTGGGACTTCTGGATTCATCGCAACTCACCATGCAAGTGGTGTTTACTCCATAGGAACCTCGCCGCCACTTCGCCAGCCATGGACAGTACCGGTATCCTCCAGGTGCGTGCTAACCATACTTACCCTTCTGCATTAGCTGACTCAGTGCTTATAGGTCTCGCTCGGACATACTAACATGGCGTTTTCCTTTTCTGTCTTCACGAATATGTCAGGTTTGCAGTGCGAATGCATGGAGACTAACTTTTGGCGTCTAGCGACTCTTTCTTCGACTCACCACCGGAGACTGCATTCTTCATCTCAAACATCACTGAGTGGCGAAAGGAGATTCCAGCACCTGTTGTTTCCGTGCCGGACTTTCCTTTCTCTTCAGACTTCCAGGACATGCACACTTCAGACTTGTTCGAATTGAAAGATACTGCGTCTGAGTGCAGCATGGACAGCGCATACCAGAGCCAGAGTGGCGCCAGCCGGCGCGGAGCCCAAAAGCCAGAGTTACACCGCCAGGGGAGCCGGATGAGCAACCAGTTCGTTGGCAGCGATATCTACTCGCCGACCATGAGCTCCGACAACTACAGCGCATTCCCAGAGAACCTGGACATGAGCCACATGCATCAGCCAGCCACATCCGGAACATGGAATGCCACAGAGGGACCCCTCTCGTATGCTAACTATTCTACTGCTCAGGACTACACACATTACTCGACAGCGAACATGCCTCGCTTCGGGCCCGCTACCCTCAGCGACTCACCACAATGGGCTACACCCGAGACCAACTTCCAGAACAACCCATTCACATTCACATCGTGGCCTACGAACGACAACATGTTCAACACCACCCCTCAACGAAACTGGCACAGCGCCTCTTTCGATACTCCAGAACGTCCCGCTACCCTGCGCAACTCATCATCATACTCTCTTCAAGAAGAGTCACGGCGAGCGTCAGCCCAAGATGTCGGCTTCGGCGCATTTGTTGGTACCCCTACCAGCACTACTAGCGTTCATTTCCCCCAGCCAATGAACAACACTATCGAAGATGCCAAGCCTGCATCTGTAGCGCAGTCAGTTGATGATAACGAAGACACCCTTTCCCAGTCTGAGGCGGCCGAGACCAAGCTTGAAGAAGAGCGTACCAAGGTTGCACGCAGCCACCCACTCTACCAACAAACACCAGACAAGGATGGAAAGTATCACTGCCCCGAAGAGGGCAAGGCAGGATGTACACACAAGCCCACAGCCTTGAAGTGCAACTACGAGTAAGTCATTCACCCATCACGCAAATCATATCGCAACAGAAGCTGACCCCTTCAACAGCAAGTACGTGGACTCTCATCTGAAGCCGTTCCGCTGCAACAAGAAGACGTGCGTTGGCGTGCAGTTCTCTTCTACTGCATGCCTCCTCCGTCACGAGCGTGAGGCACATGGCATGCACGGTCACGGAGCCAGGCCACACCTGTGCCACTTCCGCGATTGTGAGCGTGCCGTGCCGGGTCACGGGTTCCCTCGTCGCTACAACCTCTTTGACCACATGAAGCGTGTCCACCAATATGACGGGCCCACCACAGAGCCTTCGCCGCCAGTCCAAGGACAAGCTCCTCGCAAGTCGGCGTCTCGCAAGCGCAAGGCGTCAGCCGAGGAGACTGGCGAGAAGCGCGTCAAAGTCGTCAAGCTTACTGCTGAGCAACAACGCCAGCAGCGCCGTGAGGCCCTCACCAAGGAGTTCTTGAGCAAGAAGCAACACATCATTGATGTCTTGACTAATCTCAGCACTCCCAGTGATCTTGGGGACGACATTCAGCTCACAAAGGAGGTTGTTGGTCTTCACGACATCTGCACTCAGTACCGGGATGTCTTCGGCGGCTGAATGAAGCACACGTGTCTGGTAGACTTCGTCTGCTGATACAGCCGCAAGCAGGTTTGTCATCACACAGCCGGACCCCTACCCTTGTTTTTGCAATACATATACACACATCGCGTTTGATTTTCTGCGTTCTCCGAACCCGGATGGATTCCCGCGTGCCAGCGGATGAAGGACCATGACTTGCCACAAGTCTCGGATGGATGCCTCTTGCCCTGGTTGGCCACAACTCCGGAAACAGACCCAGGATACAGAGCCAAGGACATGTCCCAGCCGTGGACTGGATGCCGCAGGATCGCTAGTCGACTCTTAGAGCGACAGCAACCCCGTTGAGGGGAGATGGACTAAGGTCATACTCATTGCAATATGGTTGGCATGAGTTGGTTGATGTATCAGATTGATCTATTGTTAACGGAGGAGTGTAATTAGTGAAGCTGTATTTCTTTGGATATGGAGTTTTATTTGGATACGAAGAAGGATGACCATGGAGAGAGGTCGGTCTTGTATCGCCACCATTACCCGCCGCGCGGACGTTGGTGGCTGAAGGGGGACGTTGTTTTTGTACATAGTATTGTTACTCATGCTGTTCTTGTTATACGCTCATATCTCAAAATCAATGTGCATAATTGCTTGCCAATGTGGTGATAGTGACAACGCGCATGCGGTCTCCTTCACAGAGGGCTTCGAGGATGTTCGGCATACTTCGGCAACCCCTCTATGCTTCCAAATACCTTCTTCCAAGATAGGACCGATCGCGTCAACTCCCAAAAGTAGGAAGCAATCACCGACGTTTTGAACGGCGCCCCACCGCAGTTGGGTTTTCGTCCGTAAGACGTAGTGGGCGGGACAAGCCGAGGTTCTGTGGCAGGTGGCAGCCCCCCAACCACCCAAGCCCAGAGCCAACGATCGGGTCTCCATCAGGGTCTTATTTCGTAAGCCGCAAACTGTCAGCCAAAAACGTGCAAGGCCAGACCAGTGCCTCTCGAGTAAGCAGAAAAAAACGATCAACGGAGCTCCGTGTTTTGTCAGTGCAGGTCTAAGATCACATGTCATGATTCGATTGGGAGGGGCGACAAGCACAGCCCCGCGTATCGCGACGAACTTCAGGCCTGTTTTGCGACACAACTTAAAGCACCGAAGCTTGACCACCACTTTTGCACCTGTCTGTTACTCGATTTCTACACGTTCCTACACACCTAGTACCGGAAAGAAGTTTGACCACGTAACAAAAGAAAGAACAGGAAGAAAGGCGCTTTACACAACCATGGCTTCCGCTACCAGCTTCTTCGACTTCAAGCCCAAGGACAGTACGTTTACTAATCACACCACCTCTTCTGATGCACTTCAGCCGCTAACAACTCACAGAGAAGGGCTCTCCCTACGACCTCAACAAGCTCAACGGCAAAGTCGTCCTCGTCGTAAACACCGCCTCGAAATGCGGCTTCACACCCCAGTTCGAGGGTCTGGAGAAGCTATACAAGGAGGTCAAGGGCAAATATCCCAACGACTTTGAGATTATCGGCTTTCCATGCAACCAGTTTGGTGGCCAGGACCCAGGCTCCAACGATGAGATCCAGGAGTTCTGCCAGATTAACTACGGCGTTAGCTTCCCAGTCCTTGGAAAGATTGATGTAAGTACGAGTAGAACCCTCTCACACCACATTGTCTTGATATATATACGAACTATTCCCCATACGATGACTGAACACTGGCTAATCCTTCCCTCTACCAACAGGTCAATGGCGCACAGGCAGACCCCGCATTCGAATGGCTTAAGAACGAGAAGCCCGGCCTCATGGGCCTCAAGCGCGTAAAGTGGAACTTTGAGAAGTTCCTCGTCGGCCGTGACGGAAAGGTCAAGGGCAGGTGGGCAAGCACCAAGAAGCCTGAGGACCTCAAGGCGGAAATCGAGAAGGAGCTGGGCGGCAAATAAATGTTGAGCGCGAGTTTGGAATGATTGCGCATTGACGCAGGTCCTGTGAGCGCCGGGATACATGATGGAGTATTGATACCACTTGCATTGAATGGAATTAATGGCATTATCCATGAAGTGGCTGTGCATGGTTATGGCCTGGTGAATACCATGAGACAGAAGGAGGTGACATGCTAATGACAACGAGGGTTATATATACCCCTCGAGTATGTATCCCGCATCGTAACAGCCCCAGCAGTACAGATGTACCAAGCTTTAACCTCACGCAAAATACATGCATAAGTGGTTTTAATGTCTGCCCACACATCATTCAGACCTCGAGGCTCTACAAAAAGTACAGGATTCTGCTTGCTTGTCACTTCCATCCGCTCCTTGACCTTGTCATCCAAAGAGCTGGCGAGTATCGACATGTGCGCTGGAGCTGGCATCGATCTTACTTCCGATAAAGAGAACGAGAGCAAAAACATGTCCCAGTTTCATGGACAATACCGAGCAAAAGATGTTTGGACAGGACAATGTTATAGAGAAAACTCGTAACGGAGAGTGGTGGTGATAATTGTCATCATCGTCAGTATACGCATGACAACAAAGGTCGATAGATGAAGTGCAGGACGGAACAAAATGTAAAGCAAATGTTTTATGATTCTCTAACAACAACTGTAATATGATTTTCTCGCCTTTTTCTACGTACAAAAGCTGTGATAAGCCCAAGAGGGCAACAAGGAATGTGAGAAATTGAATGCCACTTCTTCAGGACAGCCGACGAAGCCCTCCGCACTGCAGCCAGGGTAACCCGTCTTACGTCATGTCCTCCATACGACTTTTCACTGCCCATGTCGAAGTGTGAAGTCTCGGATTCATACGCATGGCGGTATACGGCCGCGTGTTGGCACGAGTGCATGAGCGATGGCGCCTGGAGGATAAGTGCCGTGTTGGGCTGCAGTACGGACTGGATCCAATATTGATATCGGTGCTAACGCACTGGCAGTCGCCTTCTTTGGTTCTACCAACGGAGCGCACTGTAGATTGGACGGCTCCCGGCGAAGCATCTTGCCCCAGTGGGTGGAAGAGAGGCTCGTAGCCAAAACGTGGAAAGAAACCAGTAGGAGTAGTTCCCATGGTATCAGGAGACAAGAGATCAGTCGTATCCGTTATTACCAGTGCCTATCTGGCTGGCAAAAGCCGTAGAAACGCTACGAGCATCGTCATCCTCGAAGCCACCAAGCCCACGTGGCAGACCACGACCAGCGCCGAAGCCAGTTCCAACATTCGGGCCCTGGCGGGTGTTCTCTACGTAGCGGTTGAGGCGGTCAGACTGGCTGAGTGAAGTAGGCTTGTTGTAGTCGTTCAAGCTTAAACCAGACAGGCTGATACCGCCCGGTGCATCGCTGCGAGTATCGGTAAGCTCACTGGCGGCGATTGACTCACCAGCAACGCTTTGAGGTGCGCCGTTCTTGCCCTTGCCATTTGGACGACCAGGAAGAGGCCAAGACTCCTGGAAATTGGAAAACATCGGAGGATAGTTGGACGGGACACCAACACCACCGAGGGCAGAAGAGTGGACTGAAGAGACGTCGTCTGGGATGTAGCCGACAATGGATCCGTTGTCGTTGTACTCCTGGCGAGGCTTGTTGCCGTTGAAGCCAGCCTGGCGACCAGATGTCATAGCGTTGGCATGCTGGTAGGCCATCTGGTAACGCTGAGGTCCACGGTAGGTCTGCTTTGGGCGGCTGAACTGCAGAAGCGAGACCTGCAAGTTGGTCAAAGGACCCTCAACAAGGCAGTTGCGCTCCTTGAAATGGAGAAGAAGGTAATGCCACAAGGGGTGTTTCGAGAGAACCTTGGGGTTACCCAGGATGACAAGACCATACTTGGCACGGGTCAAGGCAACGTTGAGACGGCGAGGATCGCTCAAGAAACCAATACCCTGGTGGTCGTTGGAACGAACGCAAGACAAGATGATAAAGTCCTTTTCACGGCCCTGGAAAGCATCGACGGAGGCAACCTCAACTTCCTTGTAGTTCTCTTTCTTGAAGCTACCCGTTGCCTGCATAGAACTGACAACGTAACTGCGCTGACCTTCATATGGGGTAATGATACCGATATCGCCAGGCTGTACACCAGCCTTGAAGAAGCGAGTGACGATCTTCTCGACGTTCTGGGCCTCGGTACGGTTGAGGTAGGATGTACCGGACGCTGAAATCTCCTCTGCGCCGAGGTTGGACCAGAACATCATTGGGCTGTCAACGACAGGCCAGGGGAAGTCGACGTCGCGACGGATGCGTTCCTGCATTGTGACGCCGTTCTGGAGAGAACCTTCGTAGAACATGTTTGAAGGAAATTCCGAGAGACAGGGGTGCATACGGTACTGAACCTGAAGGCGGATGGGTGAGCATCCCAAAATGACCAGACGCTCAAATAGGGACTGGTTGAGACCAGCTGTTGCGGCCTTCTTGTTCATGATGACGGGACCAAGTTGCTGGTGATCACCAACAAGTACGACCTGCTTGCATCCGAGAACTAAGGGGATCATACACTCTGGCTCAGCTGACTGAGTCGATTCGTCAATGAGGACAGTGCGGAACTTCATCTTGGAAAGGCGAGGATCTCCGGCACCAACACAAGTACAGCAGATGACATCGGCTGCGTTTAGAATCTCACGCTCGGCTGCACGAGTGAGCTGCTTGAACTTCTTCTCGTCCTGACTTGACAATTCGCCGACATCGCTCTTGAGCTGGTTCAACTTGTTGAGCTCAACGTTGGTGTCGTTCATGCGGACTTGCTCGTGAAGGGAGAGGAAGCCAACTGGAGATTCGACATCCTCCCTAGATTTAGCGGTGACACGAACGGTCTTCAACCCAGTAAGATGAATACGTTCACACAGCTGGTCAACAGCAACGTTAGAGGGCGCGCAAACTAAGACTTGACTGCCGCTGATCTTGCAGAGATGGTAAATAATGGTGGCTGAAGTGACAGTCTTTCCGGTACCTGGAGGACCCTGGATCAAGCTAAGTGGCTTTTGAAGGACGCTCTTCACGGCGTTGATCTGACTAGCGTTCAATTCAGGGAGGCCCGGTACGCTGAACTTGCGGGGAATCTGAATCTTCATGGGTGCAGCAGCAACCTCATGGCCGAGAAGACGGTGGAAGATGTAACCTGATACACTCATCTCGTCGATGGCAAAAGTCTTCATGGCGTGTTGCATGCGGTCGAATGAGGTAGCCTTCCAGACGTAATCGGCGCTGAAGTTGTGTGTGCATTCGGTAGGAACAGACTTGTGATCGCCCTTGGTGCGCAGCTCAATTGTCACCTCATCGGACTGGTTGTTGGGAATCTTGATGACATAACCAACACCCTCCCAGTGTGGGCGGAGTTCTCCAGTGTAGCGTAGTCGCATTTCGTCGCCGACTGCGAGTTTGACGTCGCCCAACTCAAGCTTGGGGAGGATGAAGCTAGCGGTATGCTTGTTGTTCAGGGCCATATCCCAGCGAACCACAAGATTATCCTGCGATTGTGACTCCTTCAACTTGCGGTCGTAGTCGGCCTCGATCTTAACCAGGGGACCAAAGACGTTCTGGTATTGGAAAGCGTCATCGTATCGGAGCAAGACCTTGGCAATAACCTCCTCTTGACCAGCGCCCTTTTCAAGATCGGCAATGGTGGCATTTGCGTTGTCCTTCCACAACTCTTCAAGTTTGGCAATGGTCTGGGGGCTAAGGTGGCGGGCGCGGAGTTGCTCCTGGTCAGTTGGGGCAGGTACAAGCCAGGGAAGGAAGGAGCGGTCTTCGATCAGCGGCTGCCAACGCGAGGTATCCCAGTTCATGTCTTTTTGGGAAGGCATAGCAGCGCATGGCTGACGGCACAGCAGAACAACGACGGTGTCTGATTTGGCGGGGATGAAACCGAGGAGAAATACGTTCTTGGTACCGCAATTATAGCATTCGAGCGTCGTGTCGCCGAGCGAAGAGGCGGGGTGGAGCTGGACTTCCTTGTGACGGGCGCGAACGAGATGGTTGATGATGTGCGACGACGAAGAGTTGCCACGAGCGCTGCAGAACCACTTGCTGCATGCGAGACACTTGACGACGCTGCCGGCATTGTGAATACCACAGTATGCGCCTACCCAGGAAATTAGCATGTCTCCCATATCCACCCAGACCGTGTTTACGTACAAGCATGTGCTGGTAGTTCGACCTCAGCATCCTCCGCCCGCATAGCAGACTGGCCATTGCGCCCACCCACCGGCATACTGGCCATGCTCTCCAGATCGTCTTCATCGTACTCCTCGTCGTCATCCGCGCGTCGTCTACGAGAAAGACCGCCGCGGGAAAGGTCGCCGTCTAGGATGCCCTCGTCTACGTCGCCGGCATTGATGGTGGCGGCGGAGTCGGACACCAGGTGGTTGCCCATGTGCGTAAAGGCGCCCTCCATAGTGAAGGCTCGCGCCGGAGGCTCTTTGGTTGATTCGAAATTCGTGGGGTTGAGATTGGAGTTTCGAGGGCAGTTGCTGCCGGAGGTGTTCAGATCGGGGTGTAAACAAGTCTCGTGCTCACACCATTTCCAGCCGGGATCTTTGGTGGTTGCGCTTGGCGTGTTTGCGCGCGAAAGTGGTTGGTGTGGCGGAGAAGATTGTGTCTCAAGGTTACAGCAATTCAGCGGGGGTCGGAATATCGGAGCACACGGCTTAGCGCACTTTCACCTGACGCAGTCGCGACTTCCTCCACAAAACACTCACTCCACGTCAAACAAACGAATCTCATTCGAATCCCGCTTTGCCCTCCTGTCCTTTGTGGTTCCGGAACACCACCATGCCCAAACTCTGTGGCAATGGCAGCCTCTCTATCCAACCTCATAACGAATCTCGAAACTCAGTTGTCGTACCGCCTGCAGCAGAGCCGCATTTGTGGATCGTCTACCCTAGTGCCAACGTCTTTTCGTTGAGGATAGTTGAAAGTATACTTTCCTCATACACGTTACCGCAAGCATCTTCGAGCCACAAG